GCCTTCTTTGGCTGCAGTCATAACAAGTTAGATCAGAATTTTCATTCATTCTGAATCTAGGAGTCACATTGATCACATTTAACATGGTATCACCATTTTGAGCAAGCACAGTACTACTTTTCAGTATCTTCAAAACTTCTTAATTGTATCTTAAACTGTATAAAATGAACTTTTCCATCACCTGCATAACATAAATGGCTTAAATGATTCAGGCATACCTTTCAGAATCATTGCAATTAGCAATCCATCACTTAATATTTCTCCAGCATTTCTTCACGCTGTAATGACTGTCTTTGCATGTATAACATAGTTCATCACACTTTCTGAAGGGATGTTGACTCTGTATCTAAACTGGTAATTCTAGGCTTTTCCTTAGCTGAATAATAATCTCTCAATATTTGAAGCACTTTTCTTCCTTCATCAGTTGCCTTCCTCATTATTAAAGGCAGACCCTTATAACTTAAAAAGTAAATAAACTCAGTATAAGTTTCCTCATCCCCAAAATGTGTCTTTATCATAGGTATAATTTGGCTCACTTAGGATGGTTTCCTATAGATATGCAAATGATTGCTGCAAAAAACCTTGCAGAAAAAATTGTAATTGGATGATTCAAGACAATGTCCTGCAGCAACTAAAGAAAGTTAATATAAAGAAAGCTCCAGGGCCTGATGGTTTTCATCCACGAGTACTTAAGGAACTAAGTGTGGAGATAAGTGAACCTTTGTTTTTAATCTTTCAAGATTCTTTTTTTTTCAGGAATGGTTCAAGATTGGAGGGAGGCAGATGTCGTTCCTATATTCAAAAACATGGGTTAAAATGCCTGAAAATTATAGAATTGTGAGCTTAACTTCTGTGCCTGGGAAAGTATTTGAAAGGTTATTAAGGGATAATATTCAAGAATTAATTGAGAAGAACATGGTTAAAAAAAAAACAGCAAAAATCTGCATGGTTTTATGAAACATAGGTCATGTCAAACTAACTTAATTGCATCCTATGAAGAAGTAAGTAGGATTATAGATCATGGTGTTGAGTGCATGTAAACTATTTGGATATTACCAAGGTGTTTGATATAGTTCCATACAATAGATTAGTGTTCAAACTCAAAGAAATTGGTCTAGATCAGGGGTGCAGTGTGTGTTAGAGGTGATGTGTGTGTGTCAGAGGTGATGTGTGTGAGGGGGCAATGTGTGTGTTAGGAGTACAGTGTGTGTCTGGGGGGCGGTGTATGTGTGTGTGAGGGGTGTAGTGTGTGAGGTGGGCAGTCTGTGTGTGTGTGTGTGTGTGTGAGGGGGGGAGTGTGTGTGTGTGTCTGAGGAGGGTGTTGTAGTATATGTTTGTGTGTAAAGGGTGTATAGAGTTTATGCTGTGTGTAGGTAGGTGAGATGTGAAAAATCTATCTTAATTTCTCGCCTCCCTTCTTACCTTTTACCAGGGAGGGAAGACATAATGCTGCAAGTCCTAGTGGTCCAGTGGTGGCATGTTCACTTTAGCCTGAAGGTCCTACGGCTGCAGGTTGACCCTCCTGTCCTCCTGCGAGCACAGCACTGTATCGGAGTATTGCCATGGTAACGCATGGCAATGCTCCGACCAGTCTTCTTGCGGGAAGAACACAGCCTCCCAGGCCCTTCCCTCCCTCTGCTGGAACGAAGTGCCAGCGGGCCGGTGAGGGAGATGTTTGATCTCACCAGCCCAAGAGGGGGCACCCATGGAAAGCTTCTAAAGGCGGCTGGGGAGATTTAACTACCGAAAAGGGTCTTTGTAAATGGCCCATAGTCCTTGAAAAAGGATTTTCTTTTTATCATAAGAGCAATAAGGATGGGTAATTCTCTGCTTGAAGAAGTGGTTTTATCAGACCAAATATTCAATGTTAAATTTTTTCAACTGTAGGGTAATAGCTTCTTGATTTAAGGATAAATCTGACTGCCATTCTGGGGTCAAGAAGGATTTATTTTCATAGTTTGTTGCAACATTACAAGTGTTTCAAACTGTTTTGTTTTTTTTGCCTTCTTTTGGATCAACAGCAAAAATCAAATGTGAGGAAGGCTGAACATAATTGACACGTCTCTTTTCAGCTATGTTCCGCATCCACAGGTGTCCTAAGAACTTAACTTATAACCCAAAGTTCTCCTCAACTCTGTCGAAACACAGACTGCTCCATTTGTTTCCAGCATCCTTTCTGGGCACATAATCGGTGGCAAACTGCATGCTGAGGTTTGGGTAACCAGGAAAGTGCATACAAGAATGGCAGAACACACCACACACATGTCTTTAGCTCTTCACTGCTACACACTCATCAAGGAAAGAGGTGGGGCCAGGGCACGTACTGACACACATGCAGATGTACAGACACACAGATACAAACATTGCCACACATGCAGACACATACTACATCCCCAGCACATGCACGCAGACACATACTACATCCCCAGCACATGCACACAGACACACACTACACCCGATGCACAGGCGAAGATGATTTTGGTGCTTCCCCGTCCCCCACAAAGCATCTTCACCTGTGTGCCTCTTAACCCGCCTTTTGTTTCTTATCCCCTTTTTTAAATGTCTTACCCCCTTTAGCGTATCTTATCCCCTATTTCCCCCCATTGTGTGTCTTACACGTCCCTTGTGTGTCTTACTCCCCCCTGCCCCGTTGTGTCTTTTACTCTTCTCAGCTCAGCTCCTTTGTGTGTTTCTCTTTCACCCCCATCCCCTCTGTGTCTATTTTTCCTCTTCTCCAGCTCCTCTGTGTCTCTTTCACCCCAAGCCCCTTTGTATTTCTATCCCCAGGCTCTTCTGTGTGTCTCTTTCATACCCTGCCCCTCTGTGCATCTTTCTCACCTCCAGACCCATCTGTGTGTCTTTCTCCCCCCCTCGCTGTTTTTTAGTGGCCCCCTCCCTGTCCCTTAGTTGCTTTCTCCCCTCTCCTACACTGATTTTCACCCTTGGCTGTGCTACATATTTAGGCAGTACTCTGGGAAATAAACAAGTCTATGTCGCTCTCTCTTTTTTTTTTTTTTTTTAAAAGATGAGGAGTGGTACAGAAGTGGATATTCAGCAGTGAGATGGTTAAAATGCTGGATGCCTCCTGGGGGCCTTATCTTTTTTTCCTTGGCTGCAATGAGGTAAGTTTGCAAAGAGAAAGGGACTGAGCACTATGGTTACCATGGGAACATCCACAGTCCTCCCAGTACCAGATTCCTCCTTAACTCCTAACTTACACTTCAATTTACTACTGACTGGAGGTTAACCAGGTCAGGTCTAATGGACAGTCTCCGATTCCACAAATCTCCTCTTTAATAAAGGGCTTATGGAAAACACAACACAGGGCTTTCAATGGTTAAAATGAAAGCGGGGAGCCTGAGCTTCAAAGACCTCCATCTCATTTTAAAGGCTATATTCTAACATAGACTCTCTTTTGGATGATTTGTATAAATGTGACATATGAGCAAATATAGCTAAATTATTATTAGATTTTCCTATTTAAGTATGTGTCTTAAAGAGGAAGTGATATGTCTGAAATGTATTTCTCTACCCATAGCTAATTAAAAGAAATAAGCTTGTTGAAGGAAGTCTTCACCTTTTGTGTTTGTCATTACTACTTGTGTCAATTATTTGTCAAATATTTAGTGCAATAATTGTAAAGTGGTGCAGCGATTGTTGGCACTATATATATGTTTATACTAATAAATAAAAAGATATATTTTTTGTTTTGTTTATGTATTTATTCAATACATATGTATTTGTTATTGACTGTCCTGATATAGCTAGAGCATAAACTGTAAATTAATTTTGCAACCATAATCCGGGGTGTACAGCATGATGAGAAGGCGAGTAAGCATATGACACAAAGACAGAAATGAGTCTACGCGCGCTTGTTTGACATTTACTAATTAGTAGTGCAAGTTTGTGTGAGCATGTCTTTAATAAAACTACCTGGGGCAGAGAATGGGAAATAATCTATGAATGAAAAGTGAGTTAATTTTCCTCTGAAAATTCCTCTTTAAGGCAGGCTTATTTTTCTTTACAGACTATAGAACGTTAGATAAGGTGAACAGTTAAAGAAGATATCAGTTTGACTATTTTAATATATATATATATTTTTTTTTTATTTTTTTTTTCATTTATTTCTTTTTTTTTCCTTCTAGTGTTAACTTTTATTTTTAATTAGTTAATTATTAGACACCCATTATATTGTATGTAAATTGTATCTCATTTTCAGGGAGTATATAAGACAGTGTTGTGAACTGAAGGAACATTATTGATAAAATTAATAAAAAAGTGCTATAACTGTCAATATATGTAGAATCTTTGTGAATAAATGCTCAATTCACCAACTCCCTGGGTAGCATATGCAAGGACCTATTTGTGCATAGGGAGGCCTGTTTTGTCTAAAACTGGAATTCACAGCTTCCCTTATGTGAGCATGCATTTGGAGACAGTGCACATCTGTGAACAACAACAGACTTTGTGGAGTGAATATAATGTTCATATTCCCAAAGAGATATACAATCACCTATTTTGTGAAACAAATAGATAGCCAATAATAAATAAACAATAACAATAAAACATTTCTCATCATGAGAATCCATGCATGACTCCCAAGTAGGAGAATTCCAATTTCGTGCCAAAATCCATCTGTCCCACTTTTCTATCCTAATGTCCCTTTTGTCCAGGAATGCCACATTGTTGATAT